TATATATATATATATATATATATATATATATATATATATATATATATAAAACCTGCCACTGTGTATTGTTAATATTTTTTGCTCTTTGAAAAATATCTTATGTTTCTTAGTGTTATTTTAGTATCGTCTAAATAATACTATTATAGTTTTATTATATTTTAATTACTAGTATTTCCATTTGAATTTTAGTTAAAGTTTTAGCAACTGTGTTGTTTTTTGTCCTTTTTAGTAGTTTTTTTAATATAAGTCTAAATTGTTTTAATTAATTGTTAATAAGTTTTAGTTATTTTAGTACATCATTGAACTAAGTTAAAATAAAAATGTTGCCTTGGCAACTAGCTAAAATAAGTTTAAAATGTTTTTATTTTATTTTGTAACCCTGTTTCTTCATTTGTAAATCACTTTGGATAAAAACATCAGCTAAATGAATAAATATCCATGAAAAGTCTTGACCAATCAGAAACAGCACCTGCATTGCTAAGCCCCGCCTTTCCTGCACTGCTTGTCCTTGTGTTTTGGGCTAATGTTCTGAGCGTGTAATTATTCTGGTGATGTGTGTTTCAGACGCGCGTGCAGCACTGCGTGTGTTCGGTGGCCAGCGATCACTCCGTCGGTCTGCTGAGTCTGAGGGAGAGGAAGTGCATCATGCTGGCCTCCAGACATCTCTTCCCCATCCAGGTCATCAAGTGGAGGCCGTGTGACGATTATCTGGTGGTGGGCTGCTCCGACGGGTCCGTCTACGTCTGGCAGATGGACACAGGTGAGCCTGGGCTCGGGGGTCAGAGGTCAGAGGTCATGCTCATGGTTGCCTAGCATGGTGCATCTTGGTTCATTAATACTGAATTCAGGTAATGTGTATATATACAGTATATTGGCTATGTTCCAGATTTCATCAGATTTATAACATCTTATTGATTTGAAATCAAGTGTTTTGTAATGTGAAGCTGTTTAGCACTGATAACTCAGACCTAGAGTTATTCATTTATCCTTGATTAGAGATTTTGTACATTTATTTTATATTGGTTGCTACTGGATATTTTTTTTGTAATTATTGAATAAAAGGAATTTAATTGCAATAATGTTTAATTTTTATGTTTAAAATGTAAAAAAATTAATTGAATATATATATATATATATTTTTTAAATGATTAATTGTAGTTTTTAGTGTTTAGAATTTTTTATTTATTTAGACAAAATAGTATACAATTTTTATGTCGGTCATAACATTTGTCAGCTGTAATATAAATACACAGAAAATAAAATAATAATTAGTTATTGATATATGCCAGAATTGTAAAATTATGTGTTTCTAATGATTAATAATCTGATCTATTTTTGTCACCAATCAAATGCAATAAAGTGTCTTTCATTTGTACAATAATAATTCACTTGATTATACAAAAATATATATGACCACATTTAATATATACGTTAAATAACAAGTGTTAATTTTATGGCATCGTTAATATACTCTTATATAGTTGTTATTAATATAAAAATGTGATGAAGCATCTTTCATTTTTAAAATATTTAGTTCATATGATTATTTATATTACATGGATTATGTAATATAAGACACAAGTGTAATACAATTTTTATAGCATTTATTTACTATTCTAGTATTTATTATTATTTTCAGTTAGATTTTGTTTTTATATTTACTGTTTTCATATTAATTTTTGATTTTTTTTTCTGTTTAGCTTTATAAACATAAATCATAAACATAATATATGTTAGTTTCCAAGACAACGTTTCTATTTTCCTCATATAATTTTTATATTTTATTTCATTTTTTTTCTTTAATAGTTTTAGTTTACAATAGCAACACTGTATAAGTCGTATTTGGAATTGAATTTCGGGACATATACAGTTACCGTGATGTAAGGTTTTGGTCATATGGGTGATGGTGAGTGTGGGAGGAACTACTTAAAGCTCTGTGTCTTATTTTGAGGAGGATATTTGCCTAATAATCATTTATTATCCACCTGCCTCACTCTGTATGTCTGCATCCCATTAGAGACACGACAGAGAGCTGCTGAATCTCTGTCTCTCTCTCCTGCTGCATTAGACACATTAGTGTTTTATGAATCCACTTACAGCCGGGTATTATGGGAGCTGAGTAGAAGAGGAAACACACACTCTCTCATGAGCTGCATCAGTGTTTGATGAGTGTAATGGGTTCGTCTGGAGCTCATTTTGATGGGTGAACACACAGATACAGAGACTGATGCATGCATAGACAGACCAGTGTTATTTTACTATCATTAATATGCTTTTGCAGTTTGTATTAATATTTTGAATTAGATTTTATTTTTATATATTCCTTTTATATATTTTTTGTTTTTTATTTTATTTAGCTTTTAATTATAAAATTCATTTATTTTTTATATTATTTATAGCTTTTAATTAAATGATTTCAGATTTAGTTTTGATCATTTTAGTACTTAAACTTATTTAATTTTTATACATTTTTATTTACACTTTCATTTTAGTTTTAGTAAGTGTTTTTGAGTGTAATTTTATGTTTTTGTCATTTTTATTAGTATTTTATATTTCTATTTAGCTTTTAATTATATTTTTTCAATTTTAGTTTTAGTAACTTTAGTACTTAAACTTATTTAATTTAATTTGATTATTTTTTATATTTTAATTGTAATTTTAGTTAATCTTTCAGTCATTTTGCTGTTTTTGTCTTTTTTTTTTTTAAATGTCTAAATGTTTTTTTTTTTTAATTAATTTTCATTTCAGTTTTAGTTAAACTAAACGAAAACGAGAAATGTTTCCTTGCAAACTAACTGAAATAAAATAAGTTTAAATTTCTTAATTTTTCAGTACGTTCACATAAACTAAATGAAGAATACAATTAAAAATATATATTTTAACCCTTTCACAGAAGCGGATAACTCTTGTATTGAGTGTGTTGTTTGTGTGTGTGTTTCAGGAGCGCTGGACCGCTGTGTGATGGGAATAACGGCGGTCGAGATTCTGAACGCGTGTGACGAGGTTGTTCCCACCGCTCTGGACTCCCTCAATCACCCCGCGGTGAACCTGAAGCAGGCCATGACCCGCCGCAGTCTGGCTGCGCTCAAGAACATGGCCCAACACAAGCTACAGACGCTCGCCACCAACCTGCTCGCGGCCGACAACGCCGACAAGGTGAGACGCCTCCAAAACAGATATTAATAAGAGGATTTGACAGCAGTCAGATGTTACAATAAACACTCGCCCCGCCCCCAGATTCTTCTGATTGGTCCAATGTTTTTAAACTGCACTGCATAACAGAACTGTCTTTGAAGTCGCAGTGTGTCATTTCTGTATCATTTGAGAGAATTGCACATGTAAATTAAAGTTAATATTTAAAAACATGAATAATTTAATAACCATGTAAATGTAATATTCAGCAAATCTAAAAACATTAATGTACATTTTTCACAATGTTGTGATGAAATTCACTTGGTCAGACAGGATTTTAATGATAAAACTTTTGATTATATATGTATTTCAGATTTAGTTGGACTAATTTTGGTACTTAAACTCATTTAGTTTTATTTTTAAATTATATTTTTGTTTATTTTAGTATTATTTATATATTTATTATATTTATTATTTTTTTATTATATTTATTATATCAATTTTATATTTTCAGTTTTAAGTTTTAGTAGTTTTTATGTGATTGTCATTTTGATTAGTTTTTATTTAATATTTCTATTTAGATTTAAATTATATTATTTCAGTTTTAGTACTTTTAGTACTTTTTTACATTTAATTTTTGTTTATTTTGGTATTTATATACTATTAAAATAATGTTATTGGAGTATTGTTTATATACTATTTAGTAACATTTTGAATTAGCTTTTAATTTTATATTTTCAGCTTTGATTTAATTTAAGTTTGAGTAGTTTTGTGTACTTTTGTCATTTTAATTAGTTTTAGTTGTTCAATATTTTTTGAAATATATTTTTTATTTATAATTTCCAAATATTTCATTATATTTTTTTGAGAGTTAGTGTCAGTAATTTTAGTACTTAAATGTATTTGTTTATTTAGTTTTTTTAGGTTTAAGTTTTTGATGTAATATTTATATTTTACTTTGTAATTTCAGCATTATTTCATTTAATATAAAATATTTCTAATAGTTTTAGTTAACAGTAACAGCACTGGTCTGGTATTTAGTGTCGTCCACTTATGCTCAGACCATCCAAGTCAGACGTTAATACCGGGTGTAAAGAGGGTGTTACTGATGTGTGTGTGTGTGTGTGTGTGTGTGTGTGTGTGAGAGAGTGAGAACTAACTAAAAATAAGTTTACAATTTTTTGATATTTTATTTTCTGTTCATATTTATTAATTTCAAATAACAAAAATGTTGTTTTTAATGTGTGTGTGTGTATATATATATATATATATACATATATATATA